AAGGCCTTTGACAGTGTCTCATTTCTGCTGCTTTATAATTAGTATTTATTAAGTGCCTTCCATGTGTATTTTCTCCCGGTACAGGATTAAGAACATTCTGCTTCAAATTGTTGACCTCCTACAATCAGATATCAAACACTATTTGTAGGGCTAGGGCCTGAGCAAAACTCTCACTTAGGTCACTGGAGGTTTGTGATGCACTGTGAATAAAGGATGGGCCCATATGTAACAAACAAATTGAGAAGTCAATTTCTTGAGGGCTGTGATCCAAACTTGGGAGTGGAAGCCAGGAACTCCTGAGTTCTAAACCTACCATTGACACTGGGGATAAGTAGGTTCTGCTGATTCCCTGAGGCAGGTGACCTGTCATTCCACTTTGATATAAAGGATGTGGGAGTGGTTTTCTAGTGGAAAGAGCAATCTTGAGGGAGGATTCAGAGTAGCAGCCATGTTAGTCTGTATCCACAAAAAGAACAGGAGTACTTGTGGCCCCTTAGAGACTAACAAACTTATTAGAGCATAAACTTTCGTGGGCTACCACCCACTTCATCGAATACATAGAATGGAACATATAGTAAGAAGATATATATATACACATACAGAGAATGAGGAAGTTGCCATACAAAGGAGGTGCTGTTGTCATCATGAATAAGTTGGAATATGAACAAGAGGCTGCTAGGCAGCTCTCTAACTCCACATTCTACAGGCCATTAACCTCTGATCCCACTGAGAATTAACTACACTATCTGCTCAAGAAACTCCCTGAAAAAGCACAGGAACACATCTGTGCAGACACATGCCTAGAACCCTGACCAGGGGTATTCTATTTGCTATTCAAGATCCATAAACCTGGAAATCCTGGTTGCCCCATCATCTCAGGCATTGCCACCCTAACAGCAGGATTGTCTGGCTATGTGGACTCTCGCCTCAGGTCCTACGCTACCAGCACTCCCAGCTATCTTGGAGACACCACTGACTTCCTGAGGAAACTACAATCCATCGGTGATCTTCCAGAAAACACCATCCTGGCCACTATGGATGTAGAAGCCCTCTACACCAACATTCCACACAAAGATGGACTACAAGCCGTCAGGAACAGTATCCCCGATAATGTCACGGCAAACCTGGTGGCTGACCTTTGTGACCCACAACTATTTCACATTTGGGAACAATATATATCTTCAAGTCAGCGGCACTGCTATGGGTACCCGCATTGGCCCCACAGTATGCCAACATTTTTACGGCTGACTTAGAACAACGCTTCCTCAGCTCTCATCCCCTAATGCCCCTTCTCTACTTGCGCTAAATTGATGACATCTTCATCATCTGGACCCATGGAAAAGAAGCCCTTGAGGAATGCCACCATGATTTCAACAATTTCCATCCCACCATCAACCTCAGCCTAGACCAATCCACACAAGCAGTCCATTTCGTAGACACTACTGTGCTAATAAGCGATGGTCACATAAACACCACCCTATACCAGAAACCTACTGACCGCTATACCTACCTACATGCCTCCAGCTTCCATCGAGGACACACCACACGATCCATTGTCTACAGCCAAGCTCTAAGGTACTACCGCATTTGCTCCAACCCCTCAGACAGAGACAAACACCTACAAGATCTCTATCAAGCTACACATTTTATTATTGCTCATCAAAATGACCACTGGGGGTAGCGTGGTGACGCTCCCTTCTGACAGAGAAGCCCCCAGCCTGACCCACACTGGCTGCATGGAGAAGCGGTTACAGCAAAGCTCTACAACCGCATTTGCTCCAACCCCTCAGACAGAGACAAACACCTACAAGATCTCTATCAAGCATCCTTACAACTACAATACCCACCTGTGGAAGTGAAGAAACAGATTGATAGAGCCAGAAGAGTTCCCAGAAGTCACCTACTACAGGACAGGCCTAACAAAGAAAATAACAGAATGCCACTAGCCGTCACCTTCAGCCCCCAACTAAAACCCCTCCAACGCATTATTAAGGATCTACAGCCTATCCTGAAGGATGACCCAACACTCTCACAAATACTGGAAGACAGGCCAGTCCTTGCCTACAGACAGCCCCCCAACCTGAAGCAAATACTTACCAGCAACCATGTACCACACAACAGAACCACTAACCCAGGAACCTATCCTTGCAACAAAGCCCGTTGCCAACTGTGCCCACATATCTATTCAGGGAACACCATCACAGGGCCTAATAACATCAGCCACACTATCAGAGGCTCGTTCACCTGCACATCCACCAATGTGATATATGCCATCATGTGCCAGCAATGCCCCTCTGCCATGTACATTGGCCAAACTGGACAGTCTCTACGTAAAAGAATAACTGGACACAAATCAGATGTCAAGAATTATAACATTCATAAACCAGTCGGAGAACACTTCAATCTCTCTGGTCACACGATTACAGACATGAAAGTTGCAATTCTTCAACAAAAAAACTTCAAATCCAGACTCCAGCGAGAAACTGTTGAATTGGAATTCATTTGCAAATTGGATACAATTAACTTAGGCTTGAATAGAGACTGGGAGTGGCTAAGTCATTATGCAAGGTAACCTATTTCCCCTTGTTTTTTCCTAACCCCCCCCCCCTTCAGACATTCTTGTTAAACCCTGGATTTGTGCTGGAAATGGCCCACCTTGATTATCATACACATTGTAAGGAGAGTGATCACTTTAGATAAGCTATTGCCAGCACGAGAGTGGGGTGGGGGGAGGTATTTTTTCATGCTTTGTGTGTATAAAAGATCTTCTACACTTTCCACAGTATGCATCCGATGAAGTGAGCTGTAGCTCACGAAAGCTTATGCTCAAATAAATTGGTTAGTCTCTAAGGTGCCACAAGTACTCCTTTTCTTTTTGCGAATACAGACTAACACGGCTGTTACTCTGAAACATATCTTTTTCAGTGTCACTGCTTCCGAGGATTCAGTCCTCCATCCTGTAAGTATGGCCTACATTCACAGGCACTGTCTTTCCAATGTGCCAGGGGGGGCTCGACCCCAGGCCCCACCCCACTCTACCCCTTCCCCCAAGGCCCACCCCACCCCATGCTCCACCCTCACCCTGCCCATGCTCCACCCCCATCCCACCTCTTCCTGCCCATGCTCCATGTCCACCCTGCCCCTTCCTGCCCCATTCCATCCCCTCCCCTGAGCACGCCACACCTTTGCTCTCCCCCATCCCCCAGAGCCTCCTGCATGCTGCGAAACATCTAATCACAGTGGGTGGGAGATGCGGGAGGGAGGGGATGGTGTTGATTGGCAGGGCCCACTGATGGGCAGGATGCACAGAGGAAAGGGGAAGTGCTGATAGAGGGGCTGCTGGTGGGTGCTCTAGCCCCAGAGCACCCATGGAGTCAGTGCCTATGCCTACATTCTTTGTTCCGAGATGTATACATTTACATTTAGCCATAGTAAATAAATACTGTTTGCTTTTTCCCAGCTTGCCAGGTGATCCAGATCACTCTGTCAGTGACCTGTCCTCTTCATTATTTAATACACCCCCAATTTTTGTGTTATCTGCAAACTTTATGTTCTCTCCCAGGACATTGATAAAAGTGTTCCATAGCATAGGGCCAAAGAGTGAGTTGATTTATTTATTTAGATTTCAGTCTAAAAGAAACTCCACACCAAAAGACCCCCATCTAAAGTTTTGGGACATACGGAACATAGGTAATACAAAACATAAAATCAGCCAAAACCGTAGCACTTCTCCTTCTTCTCCCTCCCATGTAGAACTGAATCACGTCACCATGTGACCCATACAGCTTACCTGCCCTTCCTCTTCCCCAGCACTTTCTCATTCGGCAGAGCACAAAGCAGTTTCCACTCTATCACGTGTGTGGTCTGCAGGCCAGATTCCAGTCCTCACTTCTGTCAGCTTGGTGCTGGTTTGGCAGTACAAAACTGTTAAAACCAGTAGATCTGGGCCCTGGTGAACTCCCATTGTTATGATCTGGTGCAAGGGCATGTCTGGGAGAAAGGTGTGTGTGACTGGGCATCCTTATGTCTTGGTTAACCTTTCTGCCAGCACAGCCCCTTGGGGTCATAAGCAGCCCAGAGCAGCTCTAATTTGTACCAAGAATCAAGGTGTGTGTAAGGGTTGGTTACGGCTACCATTGCTGATGAGTATTGTCTCCTTATGCCACCTGTATCTGTTTGTTGTATCCACCTGTTGTCTCTGGTCATACTTAGATTGTTGCAGGGACCATCTCTTTCTTGTATGTTTGTACAGTGCCTACCACACTGGAGCCCTGATTCATGACCAAGAGCCTCAGGTGCTACTTTAATACAAATAATAAATGTTAATAATGATAGCATGAGACCATGTTTTTATGCAGGCTGTGAAAGGTGCCTGCTCACATACTTAATTAGCTCAGAGGTGTTATGGGAATTAGTTAGTTCATTACAGAGGAGAACTTTGAAAATATAAAACACTTATGTAGTGTTGGGTATTTTTCTGTCTCTTGTTAAGACATTTTTTACAGTTAAATGTGCATACAAAAGCCCTGTTTTAAGCTTAAGGACCAACCAGTTCTACATTTTACACAATTCAAGAATTATCTTAGGGTGTATAACCTTGGTAGAATTCCTTATGTATTTCCTAAGGTCTATGTTCCAAAATCCTTACTCATGGTGAGCAGCACCTTATTCCATAACTGCTTGTATAGATTTCAATGGGAGCACTTGTGGAGTAAAGCACAATTCAACCAAAGTTAAAGGTATCCAAGTCTGTCCCTAAAACTCATTTGTTGATCTCTGTTATTCTGACAGAAGGAAAGTTTTAAGAAAAAATGGCACTTGCAAATGATACATTATTTCAGTTTTGTGCATGAGTTACATCCTCATTTATCTTTGTCAAAACCAAAATAATTTCACAACTGTGGTGTGCCTGACTCAGCAGGGGAGCAGGGGGACAAGTGACTCACGTGAAACTTTTTATTAGCTCCAGCCCCTGCTTCTCACCAAAATCAAGAAGTACAGCAACCCAAAGTATCTTCATGTGCTTTACGGAAGAACTTTCCAATCTTTAGGGTAAGTAAATCTTTAGGATCCTATTCTAAAAGGGCTTGAAGTGGAAAATCAGTTAACTGTTTGTACCTAAGTACTGATTTTACACTGTTAAAAAATTAAATTAATATTCCAGGACTAAGCATTCACTTTGAAGACCGGATTCTCAGCTGGTGTAACTCACGGAAGCTCCGGTAAAGTTAGTGAAGCTACAGCAAATCACACCAGCTGAAGATCTGATCCTAAACGATGGCACTGCAGTTCAGCTTTAGGCTTTTTCCAGAACATAGGTGGTTCAATTGTACATTCATACAAATATTTGGGGAACTAATCTAAATGGAAGTTACATTTGGGATTTCCCACACAATTAACTATGGCTGCAAAAATACAAAAAATTACATTTGTGCTTGAAGTTAAGCATGTTTTTAAAGGTCTGCAGCATCGGGGCCTGTGTCCATAACATTGTGGGGTGTTGTTAGCAATGTTCCTATTAGAAATATGTATACCTTCCTCCATTTTCTTTTAGTAGCTGCAAGACTTACTATCGCTGTCCCATGGCATAATCACTATGTGTCTTCTGTGAGCATCTGGCTCAGTATTGGATGTGTTTACAGGGGAGAAACTTACTAGCCTAAAGAATAAAATAAATCCATTCCACCTTGCACTATTTATTATCTTTACTGAGTCATATACCTCAAAGGTGGTCAATTGTTATTTGATCCTTATTAAGAACGTGTGGTGTTTAGATACATCTTTGTTTGTCTGTTTATGGATAGTTACTTTACCTAATTTTCTTTGTATTACTGTATGTTTCTATTTTAGTTACATATTCATGTATGTATCATAATGTATTGTAATTGACATGTGTTTGTTGCCATCGCTCCCCCCTCTAAATACAATTTAAATATACGAACCTTCCATTAAACACCAAGGGCCTGACTGAAGTCAGTAAGGGTATGTCTACATTGCAATAAATCACCAATGGCTGACTCGGGCTTGTGGGGCTGCAGGGCTATAAAATTACAGTGTCGACATTCGGGCTCAGGATGGAGTCTGGGATCAGTAAACCTCTGGGACCAGCCTGAGCCCAAACGTCTGAAGTGCAATTTTATAGTCCCACAGCCCAAGTCAGCTAACATGGGCCAACCATGGGTATTTTATTGCAGTGCAAACTTACCCTAAGACTCTTTCCATTGACTTCAGTGGGCTTCTGGGCCAGGCTCTAATTTCTGTGCTGAATGCCCCACACTTATCAAGCAAACAGAAGTTTTAACCAACTTTTCTACATTTATTTTTTCTCTTCATAAAACCCTCATAGTATTTCCTGGTGCTTCTAAAAAGGTGAAATAACAACTGTAAGTCTCAATGTAACCCTGATGGCTGAAACGGGGTGGGGAGGTGGGAAGTGAATATTTTGAAACTCATATGTGATTTTCTTTTTCCTACTTTTATGTATTCTGTATACAGTTGGTGGATTTTAAAAAGCAAATTAGATAGCATGCAAAGCACAAGTATAATGCATGAGACAAAATCACAATGTCAAATGCAGCCATTAATAAAACTTTTGCTTTGTATAAAAATACTGTGTATTGTATGGGGAATGGTTTCATAATGCCACCCTTTCCTTATGAGTAATCTTTTGCCTTCAAGTAGCTGTTGAAATAATGGGGCCATTTGTGGTCAAACTATACTTGACTTTAGATTGGCATGAAGCAGACTGTGATTATGCAAGTTCCCACCCCCACCCAACAACTTGTGTATGGACTAGACAACATTGCAGTCCTTGGGCTTTTCCCAAGAAAAGACTGTGTCAAAATGGAGTAAGGACTTCAGTATTTGACTGTATGCCTTTACAATATGCAATCATGACTTTCAAATAAGCCATGTTTATATTGTCTCATGGTTTGATTTAGAATTTGCACTGACAAGTCAAAATATTTTGTGGAAGCTAGTTTATATTAGCTGACAAATTCCATTAATTCTCTCACTTTACATTTTTATGAGACAGAATTTTGCATGCTTCTTCCAAGGTGAAAGTCATTTTTAAAAAAAGGCAATAAAGAATTTGGACCAGGGTAGTGAAGCTGTATTTCAGTAATATAGCTCTTATTACATTATATATGTAGCAGACTACAGCGTATAGAGATGTTTTCAGAAATGTTCCCATGTTGGTCTCCTTTCCCTTCGGCACCACTGATACTTCTTGTCTTTGATTTTAGTTCTAGAATATGAATGTGAAGTAAAAAGGAATAGCTAGATTATCGGTGATCAAGAGATTGGGAGAGGGTACAAGAAGCAACCTTCCCGACCTGTGATCCCGCAGAGGTGACAACTACCCAGAAAAGTAGATGATTATGAGGATTCCCATTTTAAATAGCTAAATTACAGTTGGGGAAACTGAGGCACAGATTCACTGAGTGACTTGCCAGAGGACACAGGAAGAATCAAGCCAGCACCAAGTCAGCAGTCTCTGGCTCCCATCTTTTGCTCGGATCACTAGGATTCACCTTCACTCAATAATATATAGATGCTGACAGAAAATAGGAATCTAGTGGGGGAATTGCTTTCCCAAGCTGGTTTCTCTTTTTGTTACATATAATGGCAATGATCCCCAAAATCAGTGTATGCTGGGGAATACAAAGATAACCATGTTGCATTCTTAAAAGGAAGACATGGGACTTGTAAAAATGAAAGTGCAGGGTCTCTGGTGGGCAAAATGCTCCAAAACTAGGCAACAGACACAAAAGGATGAGGCCCTTTGGTGGAGGGCACTTTGCCTCGATATTACAGTAGATATAGAGGGATTGTTTTTTCCCCTCCTACTAAAATGCAGTGTAGCCATATGTTAGCATAGCTTCACTGATTTACTTTTTCCATATTAGAAGTTCCAGAAAGCTCTCAGACTTTACCACTTGTTTTAAGGACTGACTCATGATTTTTAGCTGAACCATTTCACACAGATCTGTTTCTAATTCTGAACCAGGGTGTTAATTTCTAGCCCCAAGGATGATCAGCTGTTTTAGAGAGCAAGTAGCTGATGCAACTCCAAAGAATTTTTGGCTTTCAAGACTTTTGGTTTTTGTTGTTGTTGTTTTTTAGAAAGTCTCCAGTGTTCACCCTTTATAGTGATCCTGCTATATTAAGGTGATGACATTTTATATTTAAGAATTGGGTGGTGGCGGAATAAAACAAACAGCTGCTGAGCAGGTGGGTTGCAATCAGTGATGATTGTGTGATTTTGGCACTATTCTGAGTAGGCTGTGAGGTGGAGCTGTGGGGACTGGGGACAGGATTGTGCACAATCACTTTCCGAGCACTCCCAAACGTAGGCACTGTACTGACTGCCCTGGGTGACTATGGAAGGAAAATGGGGCTGTCAAGGCCAAATCCCCACTCTGTCACTTTGAGTACAGAAGGGTGGGGGCCTGCAAGGATTTTAAAAATTAATACTTGCCCCTTCAGGCTTGTATTAAACTCCCAGGGTTACAGCTTTTCTCTGACCATAGTTTGGTAAACACAGCCACCACCCAAATACAAAAAAACACCCTTGGATCTAGGAAGGAGCACTTGGGAATTCCTCCCTGTGGGATACTCTCAAGCCCTTCACCACCACCCCTCAGGGGAAGAGCTGAGAAAGAAAACAAAGGTTTCAGAGGAACAGCCCTGTTAGTCTGTATTCGCAAAGGAAATTAGCTATTACCACAAGCTAATCAAACAACATGCACAAACCTCTTAGGACACCAAAATCCAATCCTGTTCTTAAAAAAGGTAAATTTTATTAAAAACAAAAAAAGAAAGAAAATACATCTGGAACTTAGGCTTTTGCTAGATTTTAAAAGAGCAATTCCCAAAATTAAGCACCCAAAATAGCTTTCTTGGGGGTTAGCTTAAAGGTTACAAGCAAACAAAAGCATCTGGGGTTAGCACAGAGAGATCCACAAGCCAAAACAAAGAAATAAACCTAATTGCATCTACTTAAACATGCCCTGTCCAATGATTTCTTCTAGGTATGGAAGATGAATTTTTATATCTGGTTGAAGCCTTACACAGCATTCCTGCTTATAGCATTGCTGCTCTGTCTCTCGTCTCCCAAGAACAACAGAGAAATGGAAAGTTTCTTTCCCAATTTTGAAAGTTCTAGCCTTCCCACTGGCTCTTTTGGTCAGGTGCCCACTCCTTTTCTTTTAGCTGTGGTCTTGTTAACCTTTACAGGTAAAGCAAGCAGAGAACAGGCACCAAGAGGGATTTTACAGCTAACTGGCTGGCTGGGTGTTCATAAAAGGGAGCTCCCCGCCCCCCTCTGCATTTATCACAGGGGCCATGGGACTCCGACCATTAATAGCCCCTTATGAACTCCCCACTGCATATCAGCACAAAGACTAGGGACAATCTGGCCCTGTATTTGCTAACTGTAGTGAAGTGATATGCAAACACATGCCAATTTTTGCAACTCATAACAACAGCCCATTCTTCCTGGAATTAGACATTCAAGTTTGTTTTCAGAGTTTATGCATATTTCATGGGTCCACCATCCTGACTTTTCGTGTCCAAAGTCTTGCTTTGGTATTTCTTTCTCTCTTCATCTCCCTAATTTCAGAAGCTATCTTAGATCCGGGTGATCTTTTCTGTGATGTATGCTGAGCTCCCCGGCCATGTATCGCTGCCTACATATTTTTTGGGAGTATAATCATTAACAAACAATAATGCACTGAAGTATCTATATAATAAGGAGAAGAGGAATAGAAAATATGCTTGTGTAAAAGGGATGCTGCAAGAGAAATCAACCTTATAATTTGTGATTGTCTCACATTTGAGTGCTTGCCTTAATGTTACATTAATGCTAAAAATATGTGCATTTGATTTATATAAATTATTCATTAAAGAACAGAAATCCAGAACTTTTCAGTATCCTAGGTCAGACCCTCCAGTCATATCTCCATTGTGGCCCTCCAGTTCTGTGCTTGATTCCATTGTGGAGCTATGACAATTTTCACCAGCTGACCCATAGAACTTACCAAAGCTTC